TTTTTTTTTTACCAGAATGGCTTCAGTTCTGTGCAGGCCACGCAGTTACAGACCACGCAATCTGTTGAAGGTGAGTGTTCTTCAGGCTGTTCCCCTCTAAGTTTCCGGTTTTCTGTCTTAAAATGGTGATAATTCATTAGTTCCCTTCATTGGACAAACAAGACCCATGCTGTGTAATTCTCAGCATTAAAGAAAAAATATTCTACTTAATATGGTCCGTTGTTAAATAACACACTCTTTTCTTTGGGGCAGCCTTGGACTGTAGTCACCTCTTTATAGACACTCCCTTTTTTCTGATGAGAGGAATTCCTTTCTTCTGTATTTCTAGGTGCTACAGGCTCTGCAGTGAAATCTGATTCACCTTCCACTTCTAGCATCCCCCCTCTCAATGAAACGGTATCTGCAGCTTCCTTACTGACAACAACCAATCAGCACTCATCCTCCTTGGGTGGCTTGAGCCACAGTGAGGAGATTCCAAATACTACCACCACACAACACAGCAGGTGATTTGGGGTGAGGATGGAGGTTGGGGTTGGTGAATAGCAATAACAGAGCTCTCTGGTTCTTTCTTATTTCCTTGACCTGGCAGAGACCACATTAGCCCTGCTTTTGTGGTAAGTGGGTGACCTCAGAACTGTGGGAAGTGAAGACAGAGGAGGCTTATTTTAATTTTCCCCTTTCAACATCCACTTTTGCTTTAACTGCTCACTACCCCTGGCCGGCCATTGTGCTTAACTAAGTATGATCTCAGACGTCCTTGGTGTCCCATAGTCTATCTTATTTTCTTACTATTTCTTGACTGAATCAGCTCCAGGTCAGGTAGCAATAGCACTGTGGCTGATGATAACCTCTTTTTTTCTGACAGCACGTTATCTACGCAGCAGAATACCCTTTCATCATCAACATCTTCTGGGCGCACTTCAACATCCACTTTTTTGGTAAGTGTGATGCTGAGTGGGATGTGTGGTTTTCTTACACTTAAACAGCTATCCAACCCTAAGATTGTCCCAAGAGAGAATTCATGAAAATTTCTTCATGATGTGGCAAAATAATTGATTTGAGGGTGCAGGAAAAGGAGTAAAAGGATGTTAGGAAGCCAAGAGAGGTGGAAGAATCCATAAATATTGAGCTCTGGGCCATTCCTAAAAGCTCTGAAAGTGACTTTCTGACTTTTTTTCCCTACTGAATATATAGTTGGGCTTTGTATGCTTTAATAAATTCTGGAAGAACATACCTTTCTAGCTGGTAGAGCTGTTCTCTTTCCTTGGTCTTGGGTATGCCAAACATGAGTTGTGAAAAGAATCAGTGCGAGGCTGGACATTTTAGTGAAAGTAGATGCCAGGTGAGAGCTTTTAGTCCAAGAGTCAATTTTGTTGTTTTGATTTGTAGCAGCTACTAGTAAAATTAAGCTGAGCTTGTAAAGGGAAGGACCCATTTTGGACAAAAGTCTCAGATTTGCCAGAAATCTGGGGAGACATGAGGGCTAAGCCTCCTTTAGGAACCTCTACTTAAATACACAGTTTCAGGTTTAAAGTCAGAATTATGGCCAGGTGTAGTGGCTCACCTCTGTAATCCCAACGCTTGCGGAGGCCAAGGCAGGAGACTGCTTAAGCACAGGAGTTTGAGACCAACCTGAGCAATATAGTGAGACCTCATCTTCACAAAAAATTTTTAAAGATTAGCTGAGCATGGTAGTATGTTAGTATAGTCCTAGTTACTTGGGAGGCTGAAGTGGGAGGATTGTTTGGGCCCGGGAGGCTAAGGTTGCAGTGAGCCAAGATTGCACCACTGCACCCCAGCCTGGGCAACAGGATGAGATGCTGTCTCAGAAAAAAAAAAAAAAAAAAGTAAAATCAGAATGTGTACTTTTTCTGGTCCACAAACTGGTCTCAACTAGTAAAGAAAAGTAGGAGAGAGAAAGCTGTGATACATTTTTTACATCTCAACTATCTCTGTCCCTTTATCAACAAATGTTAGTCTCTGGGGAATCTGTCTCCATTTGCTTTGATGTCTTTCTGAACAGGATGATGATGTGCAGTGAGCCTGTTACCATTCTTGCCAAATGAGTCTTGAGGAGTACGTAGCTGGAGATTATTTCTAACTACTTTAGCAGAGTGTATTTTGGTACCTTCGCTACTTGGACTCTTTAATTAGGAAGTTGACATAATATATTCAGCAGAAGGGATTGTCTTATTTTTGACCTGTGATGCTGATCTCTTTTCTTCTTCTCTCTTCCACTGCTTCCCCCTTTGAAGCACACAAGTGTGGAGAGTGAGGCGAATCTCCATTCTTCCTCCAGCACTTTTTCCACCACATCCAGCACAGTCTCTGCACCTCCCCCAGTGGTCAGTGTATCCTCCAGTCTCAATAGTGGCAGTAGTCTGGGTCTCAGCCTAGGCAGCAACTCCACTGTCACAGCCTCGACTCGAAGCTCGGTTGCTACGACTTCAGGTAGCCTTGCGTAAGCAGATGGCATTCCTCTGGGATGGAGGAGGTAAGTAATTGTGTGATGGGATAAAAATGTAATTTCTCTTTTAGGAAAAGCTCCTCCCAACCTCCCTCCTGGGGTCCCGCCGTTGTTGCCTAATCCGTATATTATGGCTCCAGGGCTGTTACATGCCTATCCGGTAAGTGGGACTAAAGAATCTTCTTCAAAAGGTGAGGATGCTGTGGCTATTCTTTTTTAGCTCTGGCTTCAGATGGACCCCTGTGAATACCAAAACTTGCACATACTGAAGTCCTGCAGTTGGCTCTGTGGAATCCATGTGTATGGATTTTACATTCTGCAAATGTGACTATTTTTTATCTGTGTGTCTGGTTGGAAAAAATTCATATATAAACAGTGTACAGTTCAAACCTGTGTTAAGGGTCAACTATAATTAAGGTATAGAATGAATGAGGGATTACTGCATGTAAGCAAACCAGTTTTTAATCTTTGCAGTTTTGGAAAAAGTGCTAATGGACTAAACTCAGGCCAACTCTTCATTTGTGTATCTGCTCTGGTTTATGGTACACACATGTATGCACGTATGTGTGTGTACAACATGTATGTATATGTGTGATGAGAATATCTGTTTAAAACACAACTTCTGGACCTCAGAAGCCAAAGGCCAGAGTGTTCACCTTGAATCCCTTTCAGTTTCTTAGAAAATTATGACTATTATTTTATTTTTTGAGACGCCTCTTGCTCTTTCACCCAGGCTGGAGTGCAGTGGAACAGTCATAGCTAGCTCACTTCAGCCTTGAACTCCTGGGCTCAGGCAGTCCTCTCACTTCAAACTCCCAAGTAGCTAGAGGACTACAGGTATGCACCCCCATACCTGGCTAAGGTTTTAAAAAATTTTTAGAGAGAGGTCTTCCTGTGTTGCCTAGGCTGGTCTCAAATCCCAGACCCAAGTGGTCCTCCTGCTATAGCCTCCCAAAGAACTGGGATTATATATAGGCCTAAGCCACTGCTCCTGGCCCCAAGAATTATTTTCTTTGAGTGTGTTTGCTAGTCTCGCCTGGTCAGAGAAAAGTTTCCTGACTCAACCTGGGACTGTGAGAATAAGGCTGACATTAGTAGCAGCTTTTTGCCATACTGTATCTTCTGGGACCCTTAAGTATTTGGTATCTATTAAGATGAAGGGTATATGAGAAAGTTTTAAAAGATACCTGTTTCTGCCCTCATAGACGAAGTCTAGATTAGATAAATTTCATACCGATGATACATCCAAATAACAGAGTTAACACATTTTTAATGTGTAGTCAGTACCTTAAAACCCTGAAATTGGAGAAAAGTAAAATATTCTTTCAGGAAGAGATCAATTTTAAGCCAGATTTTGAAGAGTATAAGAGACAGAGACTTGTAGAATAGAGAGTATAACTGATGGTTCGTGTATAGTTTGTGTTTACTCTATTGGTATCAAGAAGCCAGCCTACTAGAATCAGTAGTATTTAGTTCAAGGAAAGCTTCAAGAATCATTTAATCTCTTTGTACTTTACTGCTTTTCCCTTAAACAAAACTGAAGGAAATAATCTGTGTCCTGTTCTAACCCAGAATGAGGATGAATGTTCTGTTGAATTAGTTTGTCTCTTAGCTCCTTGGTTTGCTAACATCATGACCAGTTCCCATTATTGTTATATGTCTGTATCTTTCAGCCACAAGTATATGGTTATGATGACTTGCAGATGCTTCAGACAAGATTTCCATTGGTGAGTGTGTGGGGGAAAAAGGTGGTCTTAAAATTAGTGTTGGAAGAATTATCTCACATGTTCAGTTGATAAGTCACAGACATAGATCTTTCCCATCCCAGTCCTCCAGACACTCTGATTTAAGGCATATTAGAATTTAGGGATTTGGGGGAGGCTTTCCAACAACAGGTAACTTTTTTTTTCTTTTTTTAAATCAGAGTTGTGACATCTTGGTAAATATATTTTAACTTAATCTATAGCCCAGTAAAGTACTCTGGAGCTCTCAGGGTGCTTTTTGTTTGTCCCACACACTTTAAATTATGGAATGATCTGTTTTCCCAGTAGAATAAGCTTGGTGTAAACTGGCAGGGATGACACCTAGAGGGCTGAAAATATTGGTCCTGATGGACTTTGATATATTCTCAAGTGGGCATACCCGTAGACCTTGCCTGACTGTGCTCATGGTCAGGTAGGGGGGACAGTGTATGCAAGAGTAATGTGGAGTTTGTGCTAACTCTAGCCAGCTTAATCAGTGACTGGATGAATTGCACAACTCTCACATTCTTCTGTTTCTTCCTCTGTGGACATAATTCTCATGCTGTGAAATGAGTGAGATTGAATCTCTGCTCTTTTTTTTTTTCTCTCTTCTAGGATTACTACAGCATCCCATTTCCCACACCCACTACTCCGCTGACTGGGAGGGATGGTAGCCTGGCCAGCAACCCTTATTCTGGTAGGATTGGGATGGGGCTAGATAAATAAAAAGGGAGATATAGTGTTGGGATTGATGGCAGAAACCTGATGGGTAGCAAGAAGGGATGTGCTAAATCAGGATTAGTAGATTCAGAATCCTGCTAAAGTTGGGCGTGTCATGGCTTTTCCTATATATCCCACTTTCCATTGTCTTCCTGTGATTTCTAGATGATATCTTAGCCAGGCACACACCTGTAGTCTCAGCTACTTGGGAGGCTGAGGTGGGAAGATTGCTTAAGCCCAGGAGTTCAAGACCAGCCTGGGAAACATAGAAAGACCCCATATCTTGACTTATTTTTAAGCTTTTTCTAGGAAGTACAGTGGTTGATGTGGTCTTCTCTGCTCATCTCTGCCCCTTTATGCTGCCCACAGTGGCAATCTCACTGCCTTGCTAGGCCTGGGGGCATCTTTTATCTGACCTGTCATTGTCCTCATTGACTTATCATTTTCCCTGATTCATCATTATCCTTCAAATCCAGCATGGGGGTATTCCCCTTGGAGAAGAGGGGAGGGAAGAAGGGGGAAGATGAAAGAGAACATAAGTGGGCAGAGAAATTGTGCAGGTACCTAGGTACCTTATTCTGAGAGCCTGTCTCTGCCATAACTGTGAATGACTGTGTCTCTGCACAGTTATTCAGCAATAGATCTTGACTTCCAACTGTGCCAAGTGTATGCTGAGCAACACTAATCGGAGCCACTAAGAAATGTAATTCAAGGAATTGAACTTTAACAGTCTTTGAACAGGATCTCTTGGAATCATATGAAACCAGAAGAGGTATTCTACGTTGGTGTTGGGGTTAAAGAGGCAGGTACATTTAGCCTCTCCTGTCACAGGTGACCTCACAAAGTTCGGCCGTGGGGATGCCTCCTCCCCAGCCCCGGCCACAACCTTGGCCCAACCCCAACAGAATCAGACGCAGACTCACCACACCACGCAGCAGACATTCCTGAACCCGGCGCTGCCTCCTGGCTACAGTTACACCAGCCTGCCATACTATACAGGGGTCCCGGGCCTCCCCAGCACCTTCCAGTATGGGCCTGCTGTGTTCCCTGTGAGTACCTGCTTTGGTCACTCCTTGTGGTGAAGGATCCTAACCCTGGATCCTAATCCTACCGGCTTTTAAGGATGGATGACTCCTTAATAATGGATGAGGAGGAACAGTTTCCACCTCTGGCCTGTTTTTGGTCTGGTGCAGGGTGGTGGGGGAATGGGGCTGGAATTGGTGGATTACGATAGGGATTGCCTAGTCTTAGAATTTGCCAAAGGGAGAATATGATACCATACAGCTTTGCCTCACTCAGATTCATTCATTCCCTGCTGCCATTGTCCCTTTTTCTTCTCCAAACTACCATTTCTTGACTTCATTGGTAGATTCTGGAACTATTAGGAGCTAATTTCACTAAGCGTTAGGATAGGTAGCCATCTGAATGTCCAGTCCCTGGAGCTGGACAAGTGGGACAGATGGCATTCTGCTGCTATTTCACTGCAATTCTGGCCTTTTTGCGCTTTAGGTGGCTCCTACCTCTTCCAAGCAGCATGGTGTGAATGTCAGTGTGAATGCATCGGCCACCCCTTTCCAACAGCCGAGTGGATATGGGTCTCATGGATACAACACTGGTAAGCTGACCTTGTCCCTGGCTCAATGGTAGCTGTGGGGTGTTACTGGATAAATTTCAGGGAGGAAGACTTGGTGCTTGAGAAAACGGGGTTGGTGAGGGTGTGCCACTACCCCAGGTATGATTGTTAATGCTTGACTGACCTTGGTATCTGTGGGAGCAGCACCACCAGAGGAGCTTGATACTAGGACATGTGTCCACTATTTGTGATGGGAATGCCCAAGAGAGTATATATCGGCTTTTAGAATATGTTGGATGGCCAAAAGTGTGGGTGGGAAATAGGGCAAGGAGCTCCAAGCTTCTGCTGAAATGTCAGTGGAGGCAATTATTAATATGTATGGCACCGATAGTACAAAAGGGGGTATATTCACTGAGTAGAAGGATTAAGTGGGTTCATAGGTAACAGACTATGATAGGTTTGGCTTAAATCACTTTGTAGTACTACTTATGTGTCCTTTTTTATTCCCTAGCTAGAAGACCTAAACTGTGGAGAAAAAGGAGTAGGCATGACTACTACTCAATAGATTGGGAATTGGACTGGGAGAGTTGGGCCTTTAAGTTTCCTTATTTGTATGGCTGGTCTCTTTGCAAAGTCCGTTTGCGTATGTGATGGCAGGGAGGGAATTGTAGGAATCCTCTGGATGGGTACTTACCTAAGATACTTAGCCTCTCCCTTGCTTCCATACCTGAGGTCTGTGCTCTGCTTTTGGAGGACAGGGAATGAAAAGGAATCTTTGAATAATATAATTCTACTTTTTCAGTGACTTGCAGCTGAATAGAGGAGGAACAGGTTTCTCTGACTGCTTAGGGTTGGAGATCGGGGTTGTCCTTCAAAACTATCAGCTCAGTTACAGTTTCATGGTGCTTTGGATACAGCAGCATGTGTTGTTCGACCTTATGTGGGCTTTGGGTGGGTCAGTTGCCCACAGTTTCCAATAACTGGAAAGACTACAATAGGCAGTAAGGTCTAGGAACTGACAGCCAGGTGGATCTTTGAACTGTGCTCATGAGTTAAACAATCCTGAGAAGCCCCATTGAGATTTAATAATATGTAGACTCCTTGTGGCCACCCGTCTCACCCAGTAGGGTCCACCCTAATTCTTGATGGGGAAGATTATAAGCTTTTTGACTTGGGAGTGGTGGCCCCATTCTGAGGACATTAGGTTGAAGTCTTAGTTAAACCAGGTTAACGAATTTTAAGAGGCAGGTGATTGATAAAATATTAGAGAATTGGCATACCTGATTTTAGAAATCCCAGCTTCTTGCCTCCCTTAAGAATTCAGGAATGTATTATATCAGCCCTCGAGAACCCCCAGTTCCCAACCCCACAAAGGGCTTTTGTTATTCCATTCATTTATTTTTATGTATTTGATTCCTTTTAGGAAGAAAATATCCACCCCCTTACAAGCATTTCTGGACGGCTGAGAGCTAATTTGGCCCAAGGCTGGGGGCTATGTTTTGTGTGTGTGTATAAATTTGCACTGAAGTCTTGTTTCAGAAACCAGACCACTGAGGAGAGCCTGCTGAGCTGAGGCCATGGCCTGCGTGGCTTGGGGAAATGAGTTGGTGGATACCTTCTGGGCTTTTGAACTTGCCCCTCCCCCATTTCCCTCTCCCCCATGTGTCTGACCCTGTCTTACCCATTTCAAGTTCAAGCGGTGCAGCACCTTCGAAGCATCAATGCACACACCTGCTGTTGCTTTTGATTTCTGGAAGGCATGTAGTTTCAACTTGTAACAAAAATATTTGTAGTCTTCAATAAACTGTGGTATTTCTTTAGCTAACTCTGGCGTTCTTTCCGTGCATGTCTTTCTGGACACTAGGAACCAATGCTGTGCTGTGGATAAAGGGTGGAGGGTGGCCTTTTTAATCAAATCCAGCATAGCCAAAGAACTATTAATTTTTCAATATGCTGGTTTTATGAAGGTGGGGGGAGGGGAAACAGCCTCGGTTTCCAGCCGGATGATTGGTTGGTAAAGGAAACTATTTGTAGAAATCCCTGATTCTCCATGCTTATGTTGCTTCATTTTTCCATTTAGATCTTTCCTTTGCCTCTTACCTAAGCAGTGAGGAAAGGACAAAAAAGTTTGGAGTGTCATGTCCTAGTGAAAGGCAAAAGAGATAGCGTTCAGAGCTATTAGGGAAGTATCTTCCAAAGTTTAATTCACATCTGGTTCTTAAAAGCCAAGTGGCTGAGATCTGATAAAGTCATTAGTGATCAGCTAGTTGATGACTCAGGCTCTGTGGAGACTGTGCTAGCCTGGAACATTGTTCTTAGTCCCTTGATGGCTTTTCAGAGACCGTGGATTATCAGTTTTGCATTTGTGGGTATAAGCTAAGGATATGTGGGAGTGGTTTGGTCAGAAACGACTTGACTGAAAATGCTAATTCCCTCCCAGTCCAGCTAGAATATACCATTAGCCCTTTGTTTATAAAGTTAACGTGGACAGTGAGCTCACCATCCTGGGTTGATTAGAAACCAAAGTATTCAGCTTTCCTTGTATTTTTTCTCAGCCCTTTGGAGTAATTTTGCTCTGTGGAGTGTGACCACCTTTCCCAGGGGCTGCCATGCTGGGAGAGATCAATTCATATTTCTCTTCCCTGCTGCCCTCATGGTATTGGTATTGTCACTGTTTGGGGATTCATAGGGGGTGTTGATATTAGAAAGAGAGCAAGAAAACTCTAGCCTGAAGATCTTTCTAATAATTGGTGAGAGGTAGTGAAGTCAGTACCCATTATTTTCTAGATCTCTAATACTCTAATTGAGATTGTTATGACCACTACAGAGTATTATGGTTCCTATATTCCCAGTCCCTTCAACTTCATGTCCAAGATACGGCCTCTGGACTAGCTGTTTTTAGCCTAAACTCTGGAAAGAAGGAGATCAGGTAGGGGCACACTGGAGCTGAATTCCTCCCTACCACCAAGCTTGAGAATCCAGCTAGTCATTTCTTCCATCCAATATAGGCAGCCTAGCCTCACTTTGCAGAGGGCAAATATGCTTTTTTTGTTTGTTTTTTGCCTTTGCAGTAAAGACAAATTGTCTCTTAGTTTGTTTTAAAAATGTTCTACTTAAATCCTGTTTATTCCACCTTTACTCTCAACCCTTCCTCATGAATTTATTAGCTTAAGCCTTTTCCATAACTGAACTTCCTATTCTTAAAAGTTATGCCTGTTACCCAGTGATTTGCCAGATGGGCACCTCAGGTTTGAAAAATGAATGGAAAAAATACCCCGTTAGGTCCTTTAGATATTCCTGTATCATTCCCTTCTTTTACTTCAGTGTCTTTAAATTACAGAGAGTTGATGCTCTTGGATGAGGAAGTATTTTCTCTTGCTTGGTTTTCTGTAGTTCTGTTATTTTCCCTAGGAACTATCTGGACTTACGATGTTGGGAGGGTTACCACTTTGAAAGTGACTGTTCAAGGTGGACTAAGTGGAAGGCTGCCGTTGTCTGAGGCATTGGGAGGATTTGGGTTCTGGAGCTTGAATTGCGGGTGAATGGAGGATTCCTTATTTGTGAGTTGGCCTCTCTAGTACAGTGCTTTTAAAACACTTTTCCATCAGTGTTCCTGACAGCACAGGAGAAGGGATGTGTACCCCTGAGGGGAAAGATCCAAGAGCACAGACAGGCAGAGTTTTTCTGAAGCTTCATTTTATTTTTGTAAGAACTAATATATCTTTTTAAAATCATGCTTTATATTCCTGAATTACTTTTCTTCAAATCTTTGTTTAAAAAATGGAAAGTTTAAAAGATGCTAGATAATTTATTCCATGGCTTTTTCTATCTCCTTAACCCAATGCCTTACACCTCAGGTGGTAGAGTATATAGTATGAATATTTGTTGGAGGAGTACACATTAAAATGAGAGGTTGTACTACTCTGGTTTCCTTAAAGTTGTAGAGATTGGTAGGGAATTTTTCAACAGGAATGTGAGAGTTGGGGTATGGGTTAGAGCTTTTATCTTATGGAGAAGCTGAAGTTGTATACTGAAAATGACGTGTGGTTTTTGTGTTCCACCTAGGCTATAGGTGATGGCCTACTCCTGTCTACCTATCCCTCCCCATCCCACTGCACTCAGGCTTAAATTGTGTACATGGGAGTTCGCCTTTACATCTTAAGTTTAAAGATTTATCCTAGACTAAAGAAGCTGGACTGAGCTAAGGCTCTGAGAATGAGAGTGCCCTTGGGTATTAAAGTGGACTGCTCCTTTAGTACTAATGCAGTGGAGGCATGGATTTTGAGCCCAGAAATGTCACTTCAGGAAGAGAAAGGGCCAGACTACCTGAGTCTCCAGGAATACAACTGAGTGGAGTTTTGAGTGGATTGATTTGAAACGGACATTAAAATTAAAAGTGTATTACATTCCTGCTAGACTTTGGCACAGAAGTGTTTTGAAAATGGTATATGCTAGTAAGGTTTGCTCATATCCCCTTGTCTGCCAAAAAAAAACTTACATGTATACTCAACACACACCTGGAAAGGGCCAAAGAACCCTTAGGGAGCTTTTTGTGTCATGAATTCTTACCTCTCAGGACTAACTTGAAGCTGGAAAACCTACCAAAATTCCCTTGCAGTGCTATAGCTAGAAAGGCTACAGCTATCACCTCATCCCAGGAATGAGGGTCAGGCAGCTAGCTGAGCTAATCCTCCTGTCTGTTTCCTCCTCCCCTAGGTGTTTCAGTCACCTCCAGTAACACGGGCGTGCCAGATATCTCGGGTTCTGTGTACTCCAAAACCCAGGTAGGTGCCTGGCTCTGGACAGAAGTGGAAAAGAGATGGACATAGAGGAGGTAGAATTGCAATGATAGATAAGAACGGCCCTAGGAGAGGGGTCAGGAAACGCATCCTACTTTCTCTAAATGAAAGGTCTTCTCTAGACTTCACTTTCTCTAAGAAGTTAAAATTCGGTGGCTCACGCCTGTAATCCCAGCACTTTGGGAGGCCGAGGCGGGTGGATCACGAGGTCAAGAGATCGAGACCATCCTGGTCAACATGGTGAAACCCCGTCTCTACTAAAAATACAAAAACATTAGCTGGGCATCATGGCGCGTGCCTGTAATCCCAGCTACTCAGGAGGGTGAGGCAGGAGAATTGCCTGAACCCAGGAGGCGGAGGTTGCGGTGAGCTGAGATCGCGCCATTGCACTCCAGCCTGGGTAACAAGAGCGAAACTCCGTCTTAAAAAAAAAAAAAAAAAAAAAAAGTTAAAATTGAGCCCTCTGAGAAAAACACAAGAGAAATGTAATAGGAGTGAAGTGTGGCAAATTGTTTAATGTGTCATGATTTACTGTGCTACTCTCCTGGCCCCTTTTCCTACCTACTCCCAACCTTTTTCATACTTTTCAAGAGAATCAGTATGAGAGTGACAGGAAACTATTTCATTCCATTTGTTGAGTAAATCTCTAACAGTGGGAGTGGGAAAGGAGACGGCCTAGTAACTAATGAAGCATTTGAGTGATCCATAGGTTTGTTACGTTGCTTTTATCCCCTATCACCATAAATAAGTTTGCTATAAAGCACTGGGAGAGTGGGGGGCATACTTCATGTCCAAGACCTTCAACACTTCAAATATCTCAGTATGTATTTATTTATTTCGAAATATCCAAGGAGTTTTTTTTTTTCTTTTTTTTTAAGGAATATCAGAAGGGATGGGGACACCATTGGTTTGTTTATTTGTGTTTTGAGATAGTCTCAAGAAGTCACCCAGGCTGGAGTGCAGTGGTGCAATCTCAGCTTTCTAAGTAGCTGGGACTATAGGTGTGTACCACCAGGCCTGGCTAATTTTTTTTTTTTTTTTTTTTTTTTTTTTTTTTTTTTTTGATAGATACAGGGTTGGCTGGCCGTGGTGGCTCACGCCTGTAATCCGAGCACTTTGGAGGTCAAGCCAGGTGGATCACCTGAGGTCGGGAGTTCAGGATAGATACAGGGTTTTGCCATGTTTCCCAGGCTGGTTTTGACCCCCTGGGCTCAAGCAATCCACCCACCTCAGTCTCCCAAAAGTGCTGGAATTACAGGTGTAAGCCACCATGCCCAGCCTGGAGTTCTAATTTCTACCCAACTCCGGGAACAGGAATGCCAAATTTCATGATGTTCAAATATGACATTAATTTTTTTGTTGTTGTTTTTTGATACAGAGTCTTGCTCTCTCACCAGGCTGGAGTGCAGTGGCTCAACCTTGGCTCACTGCAACCTCTGCCTCCCAGGTTCAAGCAATTCTCCTGTCTCAGTCTCCCAAGTAGGTAGGGACTACAGGTGCACACCACCATGCCCAGCTAATTTTTGTATTTTTAGTAGAGACAGGGTTTCACCATGTTGGCCAGGGTGGTCTCTATCTTTTGACCTTGTGATCTGCCCATCTTGGCCTCCCAAAGTGCTGGGATTATAGGCATGAGCCATTGCGCCTGGCCGACATTCAGTTTTTTTACAAAGTGCTTTCACATTTCATCCAAGAAAGAAGTTACTTGGTGGGTTTTCTTTGTTGTTGTTGTTATTTTTTGTTTGTTTTTGAGATGAAGTTTTGCTCTTGTTGCCCAGGCTGGAGTGCAATGGCATGCACTCTACCTCCTGGGTTCAAGCAGTTCTCCTGCCTCAGCCTCCCAAGTAGCTGGGATTACAGGCATGTGCCACCACGCCCAACTAATTTTATATTTTTAATAGAGATGGGGTTTCTCCATGTTGGTCAGGCTGGTCTCAAACTCCTGGCCTCAGGCGATCGGCTCACCTGTGCCTCCCAAAGTGTTGGGATTATAGGCATGAGCCACCTCTCCCAACCTTTTTTCCTTTTTTTTTTTTGGAGACAGAGTCTTCCTCTGTTGCCCAGGCTGGAGTACAGTGCAGTGGGGCAAACTCAGCTCACTGCAACCTCTGCCTCCCAGGTTCACCAATTCTTTTTCCTCAGCCTCCCAAGTAGCTGGGATTACAGGCACAGGCCACCACGCCCAGCTAATTTTTTTTGTATTTTTAGTTGAGACAGGGTTTCACCATGTTGGCCAGGCTGGTCTTGAACCCCTGACCTCAAGTGATCTGCCCACCTCGGCCTCCTAAACTGCTGAGATTACAGGCGTGAGCCACCATGCCTGGCCCATTTGGTCTTTACAACAGGTTTCTAGCATCCCTGTTTAATATCTGAGGAAACTGAGACTAAGAGATTGGGTAGTTTACCCAGGTTCACACAGCTATTAAATAAGAGCAGAGCTGAGACTGAAACCTGAATATTTGACTTTAGATGTACTGTGCCTTCTGTGACACCATGCTGCTTTCTGAGGGTTGGGGAGCTTGAGCTGAGGAAAATCCCAAGATTAGTTTGCTGATCCCTTTTACTCTGTCTCTTCCCGGCCTCCTGAATAGCAGTCCTTTGAGAAACAAGGTTTTCATTCCGGTACTCCTGCTGCTTCCTTCAACTTGCCTTCAGCCCTAGGAAGTGGGGGCCCCATCAATCCGGCCACAGCTGCTGCCTACCCACCTGCCCCCTTTATGCACATTCTGACGCCCCATCAGCAGCCGCACTCTCAGATCCTTCACCATCACCTGCAGCAGGATGGCCAGGTAATAGCCCTTTCCCCTCTCTACTTTCCCTTCCTCTTCCTTCCTATCCCTTAAAACTGCCTCCCCTTTCCTTTTCTTACCCTTCCTCACCACCACCTTCACCCAATCCCTCCCCAGCGCCAGTCATGGGCACACAGCACATACAGACACAAGCGCACATAACACCAGCGGCCGGCAAAGGAAATGTCAGAGAAGGGGGCAGATTGAAACCTTTTTTGCCCAATTCCTTTGGTGCCCTTCTCCTCCCGTGCCACAGTTGTCCTCATCCCATCAGACCTGGGTCACACCTCCCCTCTTACCTCTCCCAGCCTTCCCTCTTCCCTGACATTTTAGCTTTCCCTTCTAATGGTGGAGTTCTATTGTCAAAGTTTGTCCCTTTATTTTCCATATATCCTGGTTCTGCCTCAGCTACCATATTTGCAGATGATTCTCTGTTGCCAGCGCCAGCAGGAGGAGCAGGTAATGAAATTGAATGATGATATGCTTGAACCCACTCCTTTTCAGTCCCCATTTCACCTCCACAGCCTCAGGGAACTTGAAAAGACTGCGCGGTCACAAATCGGGATACACAAACACAAACACCTTGCTGAGCTCTCTGGCCTCCCCTTCCTCTCTCCTCCTCCCCTCCCCAACACCCTCTTTATCTTTGTACCCTCCCCCATCTGTGGAAAACATTTGGTTACCAGAATGGAAAAGATTGTTGGGGCAGCATCTGGAGCCTGAGGCCTGAGACTGCCTCTCATACCTGCCTGAAATGGGCTCACAGATGTGGTGTGAGGTAGGGGTGGGGATCTGTGGGCCGATGCAAGTGGCCTCTTGAGAGCTCCATTATAGGTGGCTGGAGCTAGAATAAGGGCTTCCTTCCTCCTAAAGACAGCTTTTCAAATTGAGGCATTCATGGGGATCAATGGAAAGGAAATTGCCTTGTGATGACTCATCTGTTCAGAGCAGGGGAGAGAGGTGGGGTAGTGGGAGAAGGTAGAATTGAAATTGAGTGGAACTAAGTCACTACCTTGTCTCCAAAGGTATCTTGCCCTCTTCATCTTTTCCCTATTTAAAGTTAAAAATGGCTTCCTGCTTGTAAGAAAGGGGCTTCAGCAGCTACGCAGACCAAATTTTCTATGGTTCTAATAGTAGTAAGGGGAATGGGAGAGCAAGACAGTTTGCACATCTCCTCCTGAAGATGTTACAAATTTGTACCACTAACTAGACACCTTTTTCCTCCCCATCATCCTCCCATTCCCCTGCAGACGGGCAGCGGGCAACGTAGCCAGACCAGCTCCATCCCGCAGAAGCCCCAGACCAACAAGTCTGCCTACAACAGCTACAGCTGGGGGGCCAACTGAGGCCCTGACCCTCTTCTCCCGGTCCCATCTTCTGAGAGGGCTTCTCAGCCTGGAAACTATGGAAACAGCATCAAAGAGAAAGGAATGTGGGGGGTTTCCGCTGCCCCCCACCCCCAGCGGCCCACCCCATGCCTCAGCTTCATGTCTGTCCCATTCCTATACCGTCCCCACCCTGTTGTATGTATTATAGGATTTGTATTTTCTCCTTTTTTTTCCCCCTTCCTTTCCTTCGCCCCTCTTGCATTCAAGATTATGAAACTTTGCTGTGGGCCCTGCGCCTCCTTTGCTTCCTCCTGCTCACCCTGGTGGTGTACGGATGAGGTGGGGAGGTGGGACCCCCAAATATATATCAGCCCAACAGCCCTAAGTCTCCTTTATTATTAGGACAACAACAACAACAACAACAACAAAAATGGCGTCATGAATATGAACAGCATTGTCAGATGAATTAGTTGAAGTGTTTTTTTTTTTCTTTTTTTTTTGTACTGTGTCCTCAAATTTAATGGATTAATGTGTCTTGTATATATAAAAAGAAAACCTCTACCTTCAGCCTCTGCCTATTCTTGCTCCGTCTAGGACATCCTCAATTTCGTCGATGACCAGCTTGGTGAATAAGTATTACTGTACCAACTGGGCCTCCTCTAGCAGGCCCCTGAAGGCAGTGGAATAAAATGAAATCTTCGCCCTTTAAGAACTGACCTTAATGCGGTAGTAGTATCTTGTCCCTGAGGCGATTCCCTTCCCTTCACCCCTAAGACTTTCACAACCTGGTGACTGGAAAGAACCACCACAAATCTTCATTTCCTCCAGAAACTGCTACATCTACAGCTGATTTCAGGCAGCAAAGGGAGAGGGATAGAGGAGATTGGGTGGAAAATGGAGAGGATCAAGAAGGAGATGGGACCATTTCAAAGAAAAATGGCTTTACAGAGTTTTAAGTATGACTTAGATGGTTCCAGGCAAATAAACTAAAAAGAAGTGAAGGCAGCATGTATCGTCTGGCAGAACTAAATCTTGGAGGGGGGGGTGAGGGATAAAAGACGACATAGTAGGGCTGGGCGCGGTGGCTCACGCCTGTAATCCCAGCACTTTGAGAGGCCGAGGTGGAAGGATCACCTGAGGTCGGGAGTTCAAGACCAGCCTGACCAACATGGAGAAACCCCGTCTCTACTAAAAATGCAAAATTAACCAGGCATGGTGGCGCATGCCTATAATCCCAGCTACCTGGGAGGCTGAGGCAGGAGAATCGCTTGAACCTGGGAGGTGGAGGTTGCGGTGAGCCGAGATTGCACCATTGCACTCCAGTCTGGGCAACAACAGTGAAACTCCGTCTCAAAAAAAAAAAAAAAAAAAAAAACATATTGGGTACAGTGTATACTGCTTGGGTGATGGGCGAACTAAAATCACAGAAATCACTACTAAAGAACTCATCCATGTAACCAAACACCACCTGTACCCCAAAAACTATCAAAATAAACTAAACCTTGGGGCCCATTCCCCCTAGGAATGGACTACTGTAGTAGTTGCTTCTTGGGTGCTTTTCTGTGAGAGGGCTATATCCAATCCTTAAAAGAGTCTAGAGTAAGGTCTGGCCTGGAGATTGGGTACAGGGAGAGACAGGTGGAGAGGCTTTGAAAAATCAATGATACAACAGTAAACAAAACACTAAAAAAAAAAAATCAATGAGGCCAGGCACGGTGGCTCATGCACTTTGGGAGGCCAAGGCGGGTGGATCACCTGAGGTCAGGAGTTCGAGACCAGCCCGGTCAACATGGTGAAACCCTGTCTCTACAAAAAAATAAAGGTAGGACTTGGTGGCTGGGGCCTATAGTCCCAGTTACTCAGGGGACTGAGGCAGGAGAATCACTTGAACCCGGGAGGGAGAGATTGCAGTAAGCTGAGATGGCGCCACTGCACTCTAGCTTGGGAACCGAGAAAACTCTATCTCAAAAAAATATATACGAAAGGGACACTTCTTTATAGTCCCAAATTTGTCCCTTCTCAGGATTCAACTAGTTTCCCTTCACTCGCTTTCTTAAAAATCCTTTGGTTGGTTGCAGACAGAGCTTGCTTAGAAAAAAGAATCCTGGCCGGGCGTGGTGGCTCACGCCTGTAATTCCAGCACTTTGGGAGGCCCAGCCGGGCGGATCACGAGGTCAGGAGATCGAGACCATCCTGACTGCGAAACCTCGTCTCTACTAAAAATACAAAAAATTAGCCGGATGTGGTGGCACGCGCCTGTAGTCCCGGCTACTCGGGAGGCTGAGGCAGCAGAATCGTTTGAACCCGGGAGGCGGAGGTTGCAGTGAACCGAGATTGCGCCACTGCACTCCAGTCCGGGTGACAGAGACTCCGTCTCCGCACCCCAAAAAATCTTGTATGGTTATAACAAACTCCCTAGTAGCTAGAGAGATGAAGTCTATGTGTCTCTTATGTCTTGATCTCTTCTCTGGGGAATTCAATACTAGAAGGAGCTTGGAGAAACTTTTTTTTGTTCATCCCTCTAACAGCAGACATCACCCAGGTCAGTCAAAAACTCCCGAGTAAGAGGCGAGGTGGCTTCCGCGGTGAGGCTGGCCAGCACCGGGGGTGGGGAGGTTTGAGGGATGCCCTTAAGCCAGCCCATTTGTGCGGCTGGGAGGCCCTCTGGCGGCTTTATCCGGGTGCCTTCCAGAGTCAAACCCTCGAAATCGCTTTTCGGACCGAGTTGGTCTGCAGAAAGAATAGGTTTAGGAGGAAGGAAGGCGGTCAAAGGTAAACTGAACATCCGTCACGCCCACTCCTGTCACGGAAACTGGTCTCTGAAAGGTGGGGTAAAGATAAAGCCTTTGAGATTTGAGGAAGACCTTCCGCCCTATCTCCCTTTCACGGCCGACTTACAGTCTTTTACGACAGTATCCGGATCGCGCGCGGGCTTGCTTTCCGGCAACGTGGGCTGACGTCTCGCTCATTTTCCTACAGGGCTGCGCAGATTTCCCCCTTCTGCGAATCGGCCACTGGAGGGGTTCAAATGTTCGAGTACCAATACGGGAATGAGCCTCTTTGATCTCTTCCGGGGCTTTTTCGGCTTTCCTGGACCTCGGAGGTGAGAGTAGGTCCGGGTCGGACAAGGGTGCGGTCGTCTGAGAAGAGTTTGACCCCGTAGGCCTTATTTTTGGGAAAACATCCTCTGGCCTACTCCTTCAACCCGTGTGGAGAGGACAGAAGTCGTAACATTGAGCACTCGCCCCGCCACAGTAACCAGGGTGGTCGTTAAGAGGAGAAACAGCAAACTAAGCCTTTCTCCAACCTGGGGTGATGCAACAGGGACCCGGGCGATGAAGACAATTGGGGTCTGAGGGAGAGGACAGCGGGCGAGTGACCAGGACCTTGGGAGATAGGGGAGGGGCTGGGGCACACTGAAGGAAAACTGGGGAAAGGTGTTTGAAGGTAGTTGGGAGCTGAGGTCTGACTTTGGTAAAAAACAAAACCAGAACTGTCAGCCATTGTATTAATGTTTTGATGTGGCACCCAGCCCTCCAACCCTCTCCCCAGCTTCCCAGACTGCTTGCTCTTGTCCTACTTTGCCACCCACGAGTTGATGTTATGGCTTAAGTCGTGCTGAAATCTTGGTGGCCAATCTGCCTCCACTCTCAGCCACAGAGATCCCTTTTTTGGAGGGATGACTCGAGATGAAGATGATGAGGAAGAAGAGGAAGAAGGAGGCGCATGGGGCCGTGGGAACCCCATGTTCGAGAGTCCTCAGCCCCCTGAGGAATTTGGCTTTGGCTTCAGCCCAGGAGGAGGGATACGTTTCCATGATAACTTCGGCTTTGATGACCTAGTACGAGATTTCAATAGCATCTTCAGCCATATGGGGGCCTGGACCTTGCCTTCTCATCTTCCTGGTGTGTGGCTTTCCCTGAGGGACAACCTGTGGTTTCTAGTGGGTTGGTGGGTGAAATAAAGAGCCTGCAGGGAGTAGCTGGGGGATAGGAAGTGTGAGAAGATGGATGATTTCAGGGAGATGTATAGAGCCTAAGTCCTTTCCCACCCCAGCAAACACCTGCCACCTTTCTGCAGAACTTCCAGGTCCTGATTCAGAGACACCTGGTGAGAGACTGCGGGAGGGACAAACACTTCGGGACTCAATGCTTAAGTATCCAGATAGTCACCAGCCCAGGATCTTTGGGGGGGTCTTGGAGAGTGATGCAAGAAGTGAATCCCCCAAACCAACACCATACTGGGGCTTCCAGAGACCATTTCATAGGGTGAGTATCCCATCTGGGCCTGAAGTGAGAGCTTGTGAGAGACTACTAATAAAGTGCAAAGATTGGCCGGGTGCGGTAGCTTCCGCCTGTAATCCCAGCACTATGGTAGGCTGAGACGGGCGGATCACCTGAAGTGAAGAGTTAGAGACCAGACTGGTCAACATGGTGAAATGCCATCTCTGCCAAAAATACAAAAATTAGTCGGTCGTGGTAGCAGGCACCTGCTTTCCCAGCTACTGAGGAGGCCAAGGCAGGAGAATGGCTTGAACCCAGGAGGCAGAGGTTGCAGTGAGCTGAGATTGCACCATTGTACTCCAGCCTAGGCCACAAGAGCAAGACTCCATCTCAAAAAATAAATAAAAGGCCGGGTGCCGTGGCTACACCTGTAATCCCAGAGGCAGGCAGATCACCTGAGGTCAGGCATTTGACACCAGCCTAGCTAACATGGTGAAACCCCATCTCTACTAAAAATAAAAAAAATAGGCCGGGCGCGGTGGCTCACGCCTGTAATCCCAGCACTTTGGGAGGCCGAGGAGGGTAGATCACGAGGTCAAGAGATCGAGACCATCCTGGTCAACATGGTGAAACCCCGTCTCTACTAAAACTACAAAAAATTAGCTGGGCATGGTGGCGCGTGCCTGTAATCCCAGCTACTCGG